AGAAGAGCCGTTTGATTATTGCTACTGCTGCTGCTTCTGCTGCTAACCACAAAGGCAAATAAACTGTTGACTGACATTGGGCCATCACTGCGTTGTCTTTTGGTGTCTCTTTTGTGCTTCGTTCGTATCAATTGACCTTATTTGTCAGGTGTCTCAATATTCTTTACCATTTCGTTTTCGTTGTTGGTCAAATCAAGTCTATAAAGCATATATATTTTCATATATTTGATATTTTTGTTTATTGCTGTTCCTTCAGTTGCCGTTTGTAGCTTAGTTTTTCCTGTTCGTTCAGCGTTGCCTTCAGCTGCAATGCAGCAAAAGTATTTCGACCCGTGTGCTTGACAGCCAAACGTGTTACATGCCATATCAATAATATATAGTTACATATATGTACATCATAAATACTAGTGTGGACAAATAGTAAAGTCAAGAGTGAGAGAACGAGAACGAGGGAAAGGGATCAAGCGAGTGCAATGCCTGCTTTTGTTTTGTTATCCTGTAAATTATATATTATATTGTATTCATTTAACTACAACTTTTTGAAAACTTAAATTTCAAATGAACAAAAACCAAGAATATCTAAGGGGCTATTTCTAATACAAATAACTAGTAGTAAAATAAAGTACAGGGTATATGTTGGCAGAGCTGCTGTATGTAATCTTTTTTTGTTGGCAGCGTTAACTTTTGCACGCATTGATGACGAATGGCAACCAAAAATGATGAATGTTTAAAGGGCCAATGGGGACATGAATATATGCTCCCGTATAAATGTTTCCGGGTAGTGGCTATAGAGCGATTGCCACATATAAAAAAGGGTTGATAGTGTATGTGCGAGCAGCTGACACAGTTTTAGGTCAACCTACATCTGAATAGTAAAATATGATTTATGTTTGACTAATTTTGTTTAGCGCTGAGAAAAATATATACAAAATGCAACTAAACTTCATTATATTAATTAAGCCTTTTTAAATATTTACTATATGTTTAACATTTACAGATTTTTTTACCAAGGCATTTATTTTAATTTTCATTTAATTTGAGCTCTTTAAACTCATTTGGATTATTATTCAATAGCCTTTTAAGTGTCTATTGGGCTTCAAGTGTCTCTTGAGAAAATTTCCCAACATATCTTTAAAAGTGTTCATTTGTTTAATAGATATCAAGAGCGCACTTCACATTTGTTGTTTATTTTTGTTGTGTACTTGAAGTATTGCAAAGCTGAAAGCCTTTTGGGGTACATTTATCAGCATCTCGAACAATGCAATCATTAGTTCTCCCATTTTCCACCAACCATATTAAAAAACGTACAAATTTAGCGGTACTTAAAATGCATATTCTCGTATGGTGATTACTGCTTTTACGAATTCACAGCCGACAGACCCATATATACGAAATATTCAACGAGTCCACCGAAAATATGCGCTCATAATTGCGGCATGCCCACATGCCCCACATGCCCCACTCTCTTCTGCAGATGCGGTATGCAAGTGCGAACTTCATTGAGCGCGTGTTAATGGTTGGGAGATGTCAAATTGGGCGGTTGGAAAAAGTGAGGGTTTTTTGCTTTCTGTTTTTTTTTTCTCATCGTAGTCGAACGCAATCTGAGGAAAAGCGACAATGTTGGCATCGTTGTCGTAGCTGTCGAATGATGTCATGTTTGCTTAATGCTTTTTTCTGTCTCTTAAGCTCCCTGCTCTGTGCTCCCATCTGTTTTGCCTATTTCTTTAACCCAGCTGTCAATGGGAGGTGGGGCAGGGTGGGACGTTTATAAATCAGTTACCCATGCGCTGATGCTGCAATAAAAGGTGCGATTCATCATAATGGCAGAATGGGAGACTGGGTTGGAGAGAGACTAAGGGCTCCCCTTCCCAGAGGACCGTATAGATAGGAGTCTGCCATTCCAATAATCATCCGATTCGCAGCAATTGCCAGCATCCCAATGTACATTTGCAATGTGTTTCGCAATACTCTCACTCGGCGTATACGCAATGTCTGCCGTGAATTCATCGAATTCATTTTTGCCATTTTCCGCATTTTTCACAAATCTGTTTCGCACACACACACACACACGCTCACACGCACACTCACACTCACTCAGACTGTGAAGATATATAGCCTCTGTGTGCAGATATCTGCGGCAGCCGCCAGTCGCCAGTTCATATTGATTACAACAAATTTTCCGTCGCCGTTTTGTCGTTGAAGTCGTCGTCTGCCTCGTAGTCGCATTCGTAGTGCAGGAGTTAGAGATGAAGCTTAAGTGGAAACTCATGCAACACGTAACCGATATATTATTTATTTACTTTTTGGATTGCTGAGATTGCGTCATATTTGATGGGAAACTGACGTACCGTTTAAGGTGCAACAAGATGTATGTATTTAACCTAGGCTAAATGTGCGGATATAGACTTCAAGAAACAAATAAATATTTAACAGTGTTCAACTTTTACATTACGTATATCTTCTTAATAATGAATGACTAGCAAATACATATACAACTTGATATGCAGAATCGGAAATCTATAAGCTTTGTAAATTGGTATTTACCGTTTCTTTTTAAGCCTAGATTAATCGGAAAACAATAGTATTATAATTTAAAGAAGGTCGAATTTGAAACAATAGTGACTCAGATACCTTCGCCATGTAGATCTAAACCAAATTTTTCAGCGCGGTGTTTTTTAATGTTGACTGGAACGTGCCTTTGTTCTAATCAACTTACTTCTACACACCATTCCTGTTATCTCTCTTTCAGTCTTCTGTTGCCTGCGCTTGCCATCACGCTGTCATCTCCAATCAGAGTTGGTCAAATCAGCTCTAGTTTTACATTTCTTATTTCTTCTAGTCTCTCAGCTTGCAGATTTCTTTGCTTTTTGCACCGCTGTACTTGGTGGGCGGTCATCTACCATTACCAACCCACTGAGCCAGCGAACCCACCTCCGTCGTCAGAAACCGTTCACTCGCTTGACATTTAGTGCCGGCTGTTGCTGTTTGTTGTTCCTGTTGTTGTTGTTGTTGTTGCTGTTGCTGTTGCTGTAGCCATTGTTGTTCCCGCTTTTGCCACTTCAGGCCGAATCTTCGACACAGAAGGCTTCGAGTCTGACTTGGCTCGGCTGTTGGTTGTTGGCTTTTGCTGGTTTGATAGGAATTTCGTTGAACCGGTTTATGTATGTGGTGGTTTTCGAGTTGTTGCTATTGTTGCTGCTCACTGGCGTCTGGTAACTGGCTCCACCAAAATATTCGTACACCCATACGTGCATGCAATCTGTGTATGTGTGTGTGTATTTTGGTGTGCTTAAAAGTGCTTTGTGCGAAGCTTGGCTAACCAACTGGCCAGGCCACACAAATAAACATGGACACATAGAGAGAGACATAGAGAGGCAGACAGCTAGAGAGAGGGAGAGCGAACAAGAGACAGAGAGACGGAAAAATCGCGCATATTTGTCGTTGCGGATTATTTCATAGAAGAATTTTACGCTTTGCCTCTAGAAAAAATAAATGTGTGTTTGCAAGTCTCTGTGTCTGAATGTGTGTGAATGTTTGTGTTGTATTGTATGTATTATGTGTGCCATGTTTTTTTTTCTTTTTGTGGGTTATGGTTGTTTGTTGTTGTTACTGCTATGGGTATTGCATAGTTTGGCTTTTTCACTGTTAATTTACATTGCAAAAATTTCTTTGGGCTTTTGCGCATTTCCAATTCGAATAGATTATTGATAAAACCGAAGAAGAGTGAATTGAATGTTTAAGAATAAAAACCATAAAACATTGACTGAACCTTTAATGATAATTCGAACTGTATTAAAATTACTTTTAAATAAATAAAACAGCAATATCTGACATACGCTTACAAAAAACTAAAAAAACAAATATTTCAATCATTTTATTCAGAAAATGTCATTCAAACTTTTTATTAATGACAGCAGTTGTAATTTATATTAAATCTATACATTTGCCTGGGGGTTAATTTCAGCAATATATTTAAGAACTTTAAATATCACTTATTTTTCACAAAGTTTTTTTGTGACTTTCTGGAGTATTAAAATCTCACCTGTCCTTATCTTAGATTGTCCTCGTTTGATATTCATTGTTTAACCATATTGTAAATTATTTGAAATCAATTATGGCCACAAAACTGACTTCAAACAAAGATGAAATCGAATTGTTGCCGACTGAGCATTAACCACAGTTTGCCTATTCGCCCCATAGCATTATTATATAGCAACATAACAAAATAGATGGGGTATAGCAATACGCAGTGTGGACAAAGTATAACCTGATGACCTGGTGCTCAAATTCATTTTCATTTGATTGTTGTACCCCGTAGACACAGTTTGATGATAGCTAGCTTGAGCTGTACTTTGTTTAGTAAGTTCTATATAATTGCCATACTCTCTATTAAAAACAAGAAATTTGTAACCTAGTGATTTAATTTAAATTATTGTACAGCTATAAATAATCGAGGTAGAAATGGGTTGGATAGGTTTCATAGGATATGAATTTACGCAGTATTTAGTATCGTCAAATTTGTGTCTTGCTTCTACTCCTGGGTAGCTTCTAGACGAACATGTTGCCTTCCAACATCTGCTTTATCAATTTGCATATAAATATATTTGAATTGTTTGCGTGTTCGTGTGTGTGTGTGTGCATGGTTGATATTTGCTGCTGCGTGCATGTTGGCAACATATTGATATTTAGCATTTTGGCAAAATTGAGAAACCAATTGCATTTAACTCTTTTGTTGCTACTGACAGCGTTCAGTGTGGCGACCGTTTTGGTGTCTATGCATGTCGCTGATTAAATCATGCATTTTATATAGAAAAGAATTGCAAGATGACAGTTTTATTGACTTAAGGAGTATACTAGTTGGATCAAAGACTTTTTATGAAACGTGACTTGGGACTAAAATTGTTCGCTGCAGATTCTTCAAATTGAGCCAGTCAGTAGCAAACATAAGTTGAGTAAATTGAATTTGATTCCTTTGAAATAAAATTGTTGGACTTGTGTAGAAATATTTTAGTTCTCTGAAAATCAAAAGCTTTGGCTTCAAAAACTTTAATGTAGCTATTGACATCAAGTTAACAACTAGCTCTACTTTGTAGTTCAATGAACACGAGTTTGCTGTTGCTGTTGTGTGACGTTAAATTGGATTTGAGTAATTATGAATAATTGCTGTGAGAGGGACAGAAAACTTAAGGAGCAAGTTTTCATCGTCCATTTGCTGTTTGCGCCTGTAATTTATGCATTTGTAAACTTTTGATTTATTTAATTTATGCATCTCTTGACCTGACAGATAACTTCCCGCATAAATTTCAATAAGCGATAGCCCAAGTAAGGGCGAAATAAATACATAAATATAAATCTTTCGGCAATGCTAATAAGAATTTGTAAAACCAAATTTCAAATGACAATTTTCTACATCATCAATGGACCGTAATTGTCATTAATTGTGTTTGTCGATTTGCATAATAAGAGAACAAGATGAAGTTGGAAAAAAGAAGAAGAAGAGCAACAACAACAATAAAATTACAATTCAAACATAAATTTTTCAATTGCCGTGACATTTGCCAAACTCCAAACTTTGACAGACCAACTTTGCTTTTTCCACAATATATACATATATTGTATATATATATTTGTATTTATACGTGAGCATTGTGTAAAATCGTTCAAGGCTGAATACGTTTTGTATTTATTGTGTTTGTCTGTGCACTTTAAATGAAAATAAATAATAGTAGATGGCAAATGGTAATGGCGCAAAAAACATTTAAACAGCAGTGGAGGAGTCATAGCCATGGCCTCATGGCTCCACTCAAGTCAATCGAGTAAGCTCCAGACTTGCAGCACTGTGTAGTTGGTGTAATCGATGTTGGTGCCCGCCAAATTACGGCCACATTGAACAGCGGCCTGTAAACATTGCTGTTGTTGCCGGGCTGCTGCCCAGCAAATGAATAATTTGCCATCAGAGATAAACATAATCAATGCCTGTGCTGAGCGGCATTCGTCTCGCTGCCATGGGACCCAACTAGAAGTCAACTTGGCAGAAGTGACAACATCTGGACATTGCTGCTGGACAAACTTTGTTGGGGTCCACTGAAGCGACTTGTTATTGAATTAAAGTGACGTGATTTACGGCAAGTTCCGGTCAAAGCATTTAACAACATTTGCCGGGCTCAACTTATTTGGCTGCCCAGCAGCCCAAAATGACTTTGATTATAGTTAGCGTCTCGTTCCTTTAATTTACGCAAAAATGCAAACTACACGTAGTAGAGTATATACATATGTATATATTTTCATTAGCCCCACTTTGACTAGTTAGTTTAGTTTCTAGCAATTAGGTCAAATGATTACGTTAACTAATCTAATTGCAAAATGCCGACTACATTTATTTAAAAAGCAAATATTTTTCTTTGCGTTACAAAACTCTGTAATTAAATTAGACTTTTCGCTTATTTTTACTGAGAGAGATGGAGAGATAGAGAGAGAGAAATAAAGAGATAGAGAAAGAAATATATATATATATATATATATATAGAGAGAGAGAGAGAGAGAGATTGCGATAGATTGCGATAGATTGAATGAGAAAAAGATAAAGAGAGACGAAGACAGATAGACAGGTAATGAAAGAAAGAGAGAGAGTATGGGTGAGATATTCATATATATTTACAGAGAGAGGGATAGATTGAGTAAGAGGGAGAGATAGAAAGAGAGACTGGGAGGTAGTGAACACAAGATGGATCGTGGCAGAGAGGATAGGGAGAAAGAGCAGTAAGGCGAGAGCGAGATAGAAAGAAAGAGAGATGGAGAGGAAAAGAAAGGGATATATATTTCTTTAATAGAGGAATAGATACTACTACAGCTAAATCTGTTTCTATAATCAAGTCGAATCCATTAAATTTACGACAATCAGAGTTCAAACATAAACTAATGCTACATAATTATTTGCAAGAATTGTAATTATGTATTTAGTTTCGGTTTCAGTTTTGTTCGTAACACATCTTCGTGCTATGCAGATGGCAGACAAGCAGATACTGCCAACAAGGCTAATAGACAAATAACAAACAGCAAATGCTTAACGGACTGGAATGAGGGACAGTAAATGTACTTGAAGTTCTATTAATTTAATTTGCCAGCTACGCAGGGACAAACAGGCAACCAGAGAAACAAACAACAGCCGACAGCATGGACAACAGATAGCGCACAACAGACAACGGGCTATAACAATAACAACAACACACTGTCATATCACCTGGAAATCTGTTTGGTTGCAATGAACTGGCGACAATTGCGGCAACGTTTTGACTCCGGGCTGCCACACAATAAAGCCGTACATATGCACACATCTGCACACTCAGACTTACACACACTCACACATACATGCACATATGCACATATGGCTCATATAAACATTTGTCGTCGTTGGCTGCTCCGCTGTCGTCGGACTGCTGTAATTAATAATAATTTGCATTCGCAGTTAACAGTTCAGCGCCCGTGCGAGATTTCATTTAATTAAATTATATTCGCCCATGTTTAGCTTTGGGGCGGGCATTTCGTATGTTTGCTTGGGTGTGGCTAATCAGGCCAACTATCTAGGCGAAATGGGCGTGGGGGCAGCCGAGTAACAAGACAACATAAGAGCGTGCATAAATTACTCGCGTTGACTGGCTTCACTTTGCTCTTGGTTAATGGAACTGTTAGAAGCAACTAGTACATGACAACAGCGACATATTTAACTAACATGCAATTTTAATTAAACATGTTGCAGGCACTCTAAGAGGCGTTATTTTAATTCTATGGTCATAATCATTCTTCTCAATTTGATCAGTGTGTTGTATGTTTTCTAAAGAGATTATTTTTATGCTCATTTTTCGAAAATATTGGTATTTTTAATAATTAAACAATATAAATATTGAATATTATAATATTATTATATTATTGTTTAAAAGTTTAGCAAAGTATCTATTGGGTATCTATGAAATGTCGGAAAATAAATAAGTGCTAAATTTTCATATTAAATGGCCGCACGTATTTAAAACTAATTCATGCTGAAATTAAACACGTAGCTTAATTATAATGCGATAATTTACAACTATAGTAAGCTATTTAGTTCATTTAGCTCGTTTCCAGAAAATAAGCATTGGTTTTTCTTCTTCTATAATTTACTCGTCCTTATTTGTTGTATGACGTACAGAAGTATAACTTGCTTACATTATTTTAAAGAATTGAAAAGGTAAGTACTTAGAATACTCCTATACAAAAGCAAAAATATTTCAATAAGCAGGCCATATTTATAGCTCTACATATGGAAGTAAGAGTGATCCAATTCCAAGCTTCTCCATTAGAATAAATTAATTCCGTTCCGTTCTTCCAAATTAATTATTCATATAATAAGTTGGTTAAAAGTGAAATTCAATCTTCCATTCAATTTAACATTATGTTTACATTAAGGAGTTTTGGCTCTGGTGAAATGCTATTCATAAATTTGGGCATTATTTTTGAGAAATATCCGTCGTAAGGTTGTATTATCGTCAAGTGCCATGCTTGTTTCAGTGTCGGCAAAAGTCAACAGAAAGCCAGCTAAATTTACGAATAGTTTCACTGAACGTAGATGGCAGGCTCGGAGGTGTGTTGTGTTCGGGGCTTTGGTGTCAGGTGTGCGAGGCATTTTCGAGGGGTGAAATGTCAACGCTATGAAATGCAAAACACATCGAAACATTTGCACAAATGAAATCTGCGATGACTGTGACGCATTTAGCTGTCAGCTTGTTTTAGGAGCAGCAGCAAGGGACATGCAAGTCTATCCTTATTGTGCCCTACCTCTGACGTTGCTTCCTCTACGTGGCCCTACGTGGCGGGCTGGCGTTGCAGGGTTGCCAATAAAAAAGGCAACGAGCCAAAAGCAAGACAAAACGCAACGCGCGTAAAATAAACAAATTTCCGCCGACGACACTCAACTATGCAAACAGTAATTGGAGCAGCTTTTATGTGAGAGCCAAGCAACAGCAACAGCAACAGCAACAGCAGCAGCAGAAGCAACAGCAGCAGCTGTCAGGTGCAGGCGGAGGTGGGGGTGGAGGACTCTACCACGCTGGTATACAGACAGCAGTGTAAACGATGTCAAACCGTAGCCAAAGACCAAACTGATGCTCAAATTCGCCAAAAACGAAACCCGCAGCTTTCAAAGCTAACGAAGGTGTGTGGCAAGAAGGCAACGCCAAGCAGGACGCAGGACCCAGGACTCTTCGGATTCCTGTAACGGAAGACACACCTGCACACTGAAAGAGAGCGACAGGGACAAAGACATTTTTTTTCTGCAAATGCAATATTGTAATGTTTGCAATGCTCGTAATGACATTAATTTATGTATATGTTTTACATTGGATGCAGCACAAACCGGGGGAAGCAACCGATTTCTATGCGGAAAATTAAGAAAAGCAACGGCAAGAGTATGAAACCAACGTGCCGAAATAGATTATACGAATGAATAGTTCTACTCGTATGCATACTCTGTTTGCATGTTGAAGAATCATGCTTAATTTGATACTGCTCCTGGTATTCATATGTTGAGTACAGGGTATGAATATGAAAGAGAATACTCACCCGTGAAGCATTCGTAGCCTCGGTCACGCTCTCCCGCTTGACATTCGATATGCTGGCAGGCAACTGTTCTCGACATATGCTGATGTAAATGAAAACAGTTGCACAACTGTTTCGTCATAAAGAAACAAATAACATTTATGCTATTAATAAATGCAACTATTCGGATATTTAATATTTGTCAGTTAAAAATCAGCAATCCACCTGTTTATATAAATGGAATATTTTGTTTTCGCTGGCGTCTGATTCGCACCCAACTTACTTTTGAGCTTTACATGTAGTTTATATTTGATAATCTTTTTTTTTCATAAATAGATGTTTAATACAGATACTACTATGGTTTTTGTATATACATACATACGTGCAACTGATGATTCATTGATTCATTGAAAACAAAATACTGAACTAATTAGCGCTTATAC